AACTCTCGCGAGACTTCGCCACGCCCCCAAATCTCGCGAGACTTTGCGCTCCCCACCCTTCCTTTTTCATTGGCTGCGCCCCGGGGGTGGGCGTGGCGTAGCGAAGGCCGCGCCCCGCCCCTTTTTTCCTTCCCGGGCTGAGGCGCGGTGGTGGGAGGAGCGCCCTCCCCCCGCCCTCATTTGCATGCTGCGTTGTCATTGGCCAGGCTCGCCCCCCCACCGTATTAGCCATGCGAGCCCCGCCCCTTCGCTGCGGGCGTTTCAAGGCCCCCCCCCAGTTTTCGGGGAGTTTCAAGCCCCCCCCCGTAGAGCGACTGTATTGGGGGGTAAAAATTTACCAAATTCGGGTAAAAAGGGTTTCGAGGTCCCCTCGATAACGTTTTGGGGTGTTTCAAGCCCCCCCCCCCGAACCTGAGGCTCGGGAGTATTTTGACACCCAACCCCAAAATGTGGTTCGGGAGGGTGGGGTCTCCCCAAAAAGGGGCTGGGGGGGGGTTTCAAGGCTCCCCCCCAATCACGTTTTGGGGAGAGTTTCAAGGCTCCCCACCACAATAGGCTCTGGCGGTGTTTTGACACCCCCCCCCCTTTTTGCAGCCCCCCCTCACATCCAGACACCTGGGTCCCTCAAGGCCACTCAGGGGCGGATCCATCTTAAAGGCACTTTAATGAGTATGGCCAAGCCCCGCCCCCAACAAGCCCTGCCCCCAAATAAGCCCCACCCCTACTGCTAGAGGTAAGGGGGAGGTCTCTGGGGACAGTTTCTAGGGGCTCCTTGGACCTGAAGGGACTTTCAGGGCTGGTCCCCAGGGGTGGTTTCAAGGGTACCCCCCAGATTAAGGGCTGTTTCAAGGGTGCCCTCAGTGTTGGGGGTGGTTTCAAGGATCCCTGTCATTCCCCCCCCCCACCGCCACGGGCTGGGAGTAGTTTCAAGGGTGTCCCCCCCCAGATTGAGGGCGGTTTCCAGGGTCCCCCCCAGCACTGGGGGGGGTTTCGAGGCCGTCCCCGGGGCCAGCAGGCTTTTGGTGGGGCTCCTTGGGGGCAGTTTCGAGGCCCCCCCATGAGGCGGGGGCGGTTTCGAGGAGCTCCCCGAGGGTCCAGGACGGGGACCCGCTGTCTTCGCTGCCCTCGCTGTCCTCGCTCTCCTCGTCCTCCTCCCGCAGCATGCGGCGCACCGTGCGGGACAGCGTCAGCGGGTCGCACCTGGGGGCACCCAGGGAGGATTGGGGGTGACCCCCCCAGAGCCCCCCACTATCCCAGAATCCCCCCAGGCCCATACAGC